TGCATTTATTTCGACCCCTGCATTCAGTTTTACACCCCCACATGGGGCTGCGACCCGCAGTTTAAGGTGCTTTGTTCTGGATGGTCCAGACAGCGTGGGAAGCAGAGAGGCCGGGGGCCATGGTGTCCTGGGACATTGATTCTGAGCCAGACCTGGATTCCGACTCCCCAACCATTGGCCTCTCCTGGAGGGACCCTCACAGGCATGACAGGGACAGCTGCCCTTATGTACACAGCCCCACCCCCCACCTCCCTGAGCATGCTGGCAGCTCCCCGTCACCTGTCCGCCAGCACGGTCAGGAGGGTTTTCCTGGGTCACCATACGGAGTACTTGAACTCACGTGATTCTTGTCTGCCATGTCAGTGCCCCAGCTTTCCAGTCTAGAAAGCACAGTGCCCCGCAGTGTGCGCTGAGGTTGTTAAATACACCATTGCCTTGGTCTTTTCAGGTTCGAAACCAGCACTGGAGCCTCATTATGGAGAGTGTGGTCCCGTCCGACAAAGGAAACTACACTTGTGTAGTGGAAAACGAATATGGGTCCATCAACCACACATACCACCTCGATGTTGTGGGTGAGTGTCCCTTCTCCGCATGGCAGCCCATTCCAGCCCGACTCACTTGGAATCACAAAATGCAAGCCTTGTGTTTCCTCGGAGTTTCAGGAGGGATGGTTCGTTTTTGTTCTTGGTAAACACGAGCTGTCACCCGAGAAGGAGGCGTCTGTCATTTGGCAGGGCTGTGTTTCCTGACTTTCAGCATCTTGGGTGTTTTGCACAAGCCCCTGGGTTCCCGAGCATCCTCCGGTGTGAGGGGGATGTGGAATGACTTGTGCTGACACCTGGAAGCCCATACTTTATGCTCGGAAAACGTGAGCGGCTGCAGGGGGAGGGTACAGGTTGCCACTGGAGCAAGGCATTTTCTGTATGAGAGGCAACATTCTCGAAGGTGAGACGACTGTATCGTGCTGCCGCCACAGTCAAGGTCAAAGTGTGGCCAGGACTGAGTCTGTGGCTGGCAGGACGAAGAGCTTACTGTCCAGGGACCCTCCAATGCTCCACGTATGTCTGTTCCTGGAGGAAATGGTCGCTGTGAAAAGATATAAATTACAAATAAATTTTACCTGCGTGTCCATAAGCGTGTTCTCTAACATGGGGCAGGGCCACGGGCAGGTACACTAACATCGTTTCCTCGGGTCTTGCCTATTATGATGGGTTTCGTTGTAATGGATGAGGGAAGGCGTGGTTTCTCTGCCTGGTTGGAAGATCGAGAGCACGTAGGTAGAGTTTTGCCTATGGCGCCCAGGTGGTGTCGTGGTAACTCGCTGGGCTGCAGTCTGCATGGTTGGCAGTTCAAAACCTCCAGCAACTCTGAGGGAGAAAGCCTGGGCTTTCTGTTCCTGTAAACCAGCGGGTCACAACCTGTGGGTCTCGACCCCTTTGAGGGTCGTACGACCCATTCACGGGGGTCGCCCGATTCATCACAGTAGCAAAATGAGAGTGATGAAGTAGCAACGAAAATAATTTGATGGTTGGGGGGTCACCACCGCATAAGAAACTGCCTGAAAGGGTCTCGGCGTGAGGAAGGTGGAGAATCATTGCGCAGTCTCAGGAAACCCCAGGGAGGGTCTCTCTCTCTGAGTCAGCCTTGACTCAATGGCAGTGAGGTTGGGCTTCATTCGAGAGCTGTGCCTGGGGCGTGTCTCTCTGCAGATCCTCTCTGGACTGCTTCCATGTGGGAGGTCCTTTCTTTCCCCCAGCCAGGCAGCGCCTAGGACTCCCGGGTTTGGGCCCTTGCTTCTGGTGACTGTGCGCGTTGCCTTTTCTGCATCCAGTTTGCTAACTCTGCTGAAGAGAAGACTGGAGGCCCACTCTGCTCCATGTTGCCTTTCATGTGACTCTAGACACACCCGCCCACCGACTCACCGCACAGCTGAACGCCGGCCGGCTTCCTCTGTAATTCCATAGGCACGCGTCCCGAGTACTATTTCACCCGGGGGCATCTCTTCTCCTTCAATTCAGTATAGACTCTTAGATGAGAGAGCCCCGCCCCCTAGCTATTTGAATTACCCAAAGAGCCATTAAGAAACTTTCCAAAGCGTTTGATTAATTAAATTGCGTAGGTTTAGTTAAGTGCAATGTTAGGTTCCCTGAAAATTAAGCAGAAAAGCAATTTGATTTTCTATCAAGTTCAATTACATTAGATCCCCCAATCCATCCTGCCTTAGTAAGCACAGGGTAGACTTTCCTTCCTCTGTGCGCCAGCGCTCGGTGAAAAGAGAGGCCCGGTGACACCGTGGTGAGGCGCTTGGCTGCCACCCAGAAGGCTGGTGTTGGCAGTCACCAGCCGTTCCACGGGAGAAAGGTGTGGCAGTCTGCTTTTGTCAGGATCACAGCCTTGGAAACACGCCCTATGGGGCCGTTCTGCTCAGCCTGTCGGGTCGCTGGGCGTCACCATGAACGTGGCAGCCATGGGCTTTGTGCCCCCTGGAAAATGTGCTACTATTTCTGAATCCTGTGCTTCTGTCCCTCGGAGCATGGTGTGACATTTATAGGTCTTGGTCTGATGTAGATCGTAAGGGATTCCCAGGCGCCATTAAGCCTGCTTTTCTCATAGAGATATTTGTGGTGTGTTTAGTGAGGATTTACCAGGTGCAGAATTAGTGAGGATTACCACGAGCAGTTACTTTACGGAGCAAACCTAAAGAGAAGTAGCATCGAGACAGAAGAACACGATGGCCGGCATTTCTTTGGCGTGGGCATCATTAAGTGCTGCCAAGTTGGTTCTGACGTCCAGTTGACCCCATGCCGTCCGTCCGCAGAAGGTAGCACTGCCCTCTCCTGCACCCTTTCCACGAGATTGCTTTGTGTGAGCCCATGTTGGCAGCAATCCATCTCGTTGAGGGTCCTGTTCATTTAAGACCTCGACCCTCTGCCAATTGTGAATTTGTTCTTGAGCGATTGGAACCTGCTGACAATATGTCCAGGGTGCACAAAGTCTCACCACCCTCGCTTCTAAGGAGCACTCTCATACTTCTCGCAAGACAGATTTGTTTGTTCTTCTGGTAGACCGTGGTACGTTCAGTGTCCTGTGCCAGCCATCGCTCAAAGGCACCCATTCTTCAGTCTTCCTTCTTCATCCCCCAGCTCTCACGTGTCTACGTGGCCATTGAAAGTCCCACGGCTCGGTCAGACCCGCCCACTCAGCAAGGTGACCGTGGCATCCTCGCTCCTGGATGCTGTAAAGAGGCCTCTTATATCAGATTTGCCCAATGTAATGCGTTGCTTATTTTCTTTTGTGGAATTGACCATTTCATTTACAGCCTCCCCGCTTCCCATTTGTCTTGATGTAACAGATGGGCCCAGTAGTGAGGATTTTTAGTTTCTTCATGTTAAAGAATACTTCCTCCCATAGTGAAGGCTTCTGTCTTTGGTCTTGGTTAGCAAGTGCTTCAAGTCCTCCCGGCTTCCACCACCCAAGGTTGTGTCACCTGCACATCACAGGTTGCTGATGAGCCTTCGACCAGTCCTGCCGCCACCCTCTTCTTCACCTGGCCCAGTTCCTCCGACTGTCTGTTTGCCCAGCATGCAGACGGAACAAGTATGGTGAGAGAAGACAACCCCTATGCACACGTTTCCTGAAATTAAACCACACAGTCTCCCCTTGTTCTGTTCTGGCAACTGCCTCGGGCTCTCAGCGTCGATGCAGTGTAAGTCCATCGCCTGACAAGCGCGAGACTTTCATTTCCCTGTGGACCTCACGTATACCGACTTGAACAGGAAGGTGTTTTCATGTAAGGAAGGAAAGTTGGTGTTCTGGCTGAAAGTTCCCAATATCTCTGTAGACTTAAAGGAGTGAGGGCAGGAATAAAATACCCAGGCCGCATCAGCCCATTGGGCACATGGTTCCTCAAGTCATTGACACGATCGGTCGGAGCCCTGCCAAGGGAGCACCAAGTCTATCACTGGGCCACTGCAGCCAAGACTCTGGCTAACTGCAGGTTTTAGCTGGAGTTGTTCTGTAAAACATTTACTACCCCACCACCACCCACCCTACCCCCACTGGCCTCGAGCTGTCTGGCAGCTCATCTCACACAGCCCTGAGATCTCTTTTTGAGCGTGGGGTTGGGATTTGAGCCGGGCTGCTGAATAATGGAATTGTGCCGTCGAATGTTAATCCCCCGGCCATCAGTTTTGTTGAAAAGAGCGGTGCTTCAGTGGGAGCAGAGTGGCGGGAGCTTGGTGGAGCATATGGAGTGATGCAGAGAGAGGTCTGATTATGTCACAAAGCTGGGAGATCGCCCAGCGAAACGTGGGCCAATAATGACACAATGCTGGTTGGGAATATCCATTAAAGCTCAGCCTCCATACTTTTCCAAGCCCCGGACCGTCTTTATAAATAGCAGCCAAAAGTCAGTGGAGTAAAGGCACTTGGTACGGAGGGGTGGAATTCTCTCGCCATTGCTCTGTCAGGGTCCTTGGGAGCGCTCTGAAGGAACCCTGCTGGTGCAGTGGTTGAACATTGGGCGGCCCACCGACAGACCCCCTCAGAGAATAAGAGCAGCAGCCACAGCCACCGAAAAGACCAGACTCACTGCCATCATCAAGTCCATGCCGATCCATGGCAAACCCACCGGACAGGGTAGAACTGCCCCGCTTCACAGAAGTGGAAAGACGCACATTTCTCCCTCGGAGTGATTGCTGGTTTTGAACTGCTGAACTTGTGGATCCCAAGGCTTAACCACTGTGCTACCAGGGCTCCAAGATAAGACCTCAAAACTCACTGCCATTGAGTCACTGCTGACTCATAGCGCCCCTCTAGGACACAGCAGAGTTTCTGAGATGGTAACTTTTTATGGGAACGGAGAGCCTCGTCTTTCTCCTCGGACCATGCTGGTGGTTTCAAACTGCTGACCTCGCAGTTAGCAGACCAATGTGTAACCACTGTGCCACCAAGGCTCCAAAGCAGGAGCCGCTAGTGAGGTTTACAGGGCTGTTAAAAGTGCTTCTCTACAAGTGGAGACAAAGGGGGCTCGGGCTTCCACAAGACTCTGGTGGCCCTCGGGCCTCAGCAGTGTGGGAGCTGAGTCCCGGCTTCCCGGCGAGTCAGCGGTGCTCTGCTTTGTGTGAGGAGCTCATGCCCTCTCTGTGCAAGCTCTCCCATGGTTTCTCCTTCTGCTGCTATGAGACGTTGATGTGGGGTTCAGACAGTGCGAGGCATCAACTGAGATCTTTTTATTGAAGTTCTTCCCCAGAGGGGCATTCCGATCAGCGCTCTAATGGAACAGCTGTGCGACGTAAGTGACATTCTTGTGTTCTGGCAGTCAGCAGCAAGCACACTGTTGCTGTGTGGGAGGGAAGTGCTTTCGTTTATGGGAGTGCTTTTAGGAGCCTGGCTCGGTCCTGATTAAAACCAACCCCATCGCTTTCCTGCCATCTCATCGTGTGGGGGGGGGATCCGGGGGAAAGACCCGTCTTGTAGTCGAGGTGGTGAAGAGAGCACAGGGCTCCCCTGAAACAGCTGCCTCCTCCTGGAGATGGGATCGAGACTGGGTCCTGACACGCTCCTTCTTTCA